GACCAAACGTCGCCCTAAGACTGAGGACTTTTTGTCTTTTCTCTGTTTAAGAGGTAAGCTGAAAACACGGAAGCTGCTCTCACGTGACCAGGCTGCGCACAGGGGTGGCTGTAGCTGAGGATGTTATCTACTAATTGGACGATGGGTCGTTCGAACTCTCAGAGCCTAGCAGGATATTTGTGTCTCTGTGTGTGTCGTCCACGTTGGTTTTTCTGTGGTTTCCAGGATTCTGACTGCTCCTAAGCTCTCTGATGGGTTTATTTTGGTATCACAGCCGAATGCACAAAGATCCCTTTGGCCTCATTTACAATGAAAGCTGTAAATACCATTTGAATCAGCGTATCATATCATATGATGTCATATGATTTTTTTTTTAAACCCACTGAATTAAATCTGAAAGTCTGCACTTCAGGCGAATATCGACAAAAATACATTCTTTGTCTAACTAACTTTGGACATGATTGTGAGCACATGGAGATTAGGAAGAAGGACTGCAGCCCTCAGCAGCCTGAGAGAGAGATCTAGTTATCCGTCTGTCCCTTCCCTCATTTCTCCATCCCTGCCTATTTCCTCTCTAATCAGGAGTCCCACTGTGGACAATCTTCACTGGTGTTTAAACGATGACCCCTTTTGGATGCAACCCCCCTGTGTAGCCAGACAAAATGTAAAAACTCATAACCTTGGATGCACTCCAAGCAACCTGAACCTGCAAGGAAAATAAAGTCTTTAGGCTCATTTGTCACATGAAACTCAACACAATTCTTTCATTTAAATAATTTATCCATAAATCATCCTTAAATCATCCATAAATCATCCATAAATCATCTATCCATATATCTTTAGGGTCAAATATAACTCCTGTTGTTTCACCAGTACACAGTGAAAGGAAGAGGAGAGCTGAGCTCCTCGGAGCAACCCTGTTCTGCAACATCTGGCTGTCAGAAGCACTTTTGATGACTTTTGGGTCATCTAGATGTTTCCTAGATGGCATATTGATTGTGGACCAGGAATATCAAACATCGACCCGGATAGGGCTCCAATCTGGCCCACTGCATTGTTTTGTGGGGGGGTAATTCAGCTTTGGACTTTTATCTGTAATTTTAAAAGTTTTGTTGACTGATAAAAACTCTTACATGGCTACTCACAACACATCAAAGTAATTTGATTATAGATTTCTGTGATTTTACACATTTATTTCTTTAAGTTTAAGCCCAAAGTGCTGAATGAATGAAGCATTTGTTTATAATGTAGAAAGACTGTGACAGAACTGAACTTAGTTTCACTGGTCCGGTTCAAATAAGCTGTGTGTGGCAGCTTGTGGGTGTTAATTGTATCTGTTGACAGTCCCTCTGTGAACCCTCTTGCATTTGCTTCAGCCATCAACAAAGAGTGTAACCTCATTTTTTGTGCCAAATAAATCAGTGCAAGGGAGCATAGCTGCTTGTAGGCAAGGATTCCCATTTCCCCTCGTTTGGGCTGGGCCTTGTAATGACAGCACGAATGTTTGATACTTCTGCTTCTATTCATTACACATTAATAACATAAATATTGTATATTATTCATATAATCATCATATAAATAATACGCAGATATGTTACTTGAATAATTACCATCATGAGAGAAAGTGAGGAAAAAACTGAGACTAAGCTCTCTTCACTCATATCAGCAGAGAGGCACACGGCCTGTTTTCAGCTCTCTGTCTGCTTACTCGTCTTTTTCCACACTTTTAACAGAAAAATACGCTACTCACATAATTCACCACCATACAGAATATATTCTGATTTATTGCGAGCAACACAACCTGATGTTGTTGCAGTTGTAGTAATTTCCAGCCCATCCTTGGTTTGTCCTGCCTCCTCTGAGTTCCTGTTTGACATTAAAAAAATGGAAGTTTTATCTGGCCTGTACAGCTCATCTACTAACTGGAGGGTTGATGGTCCGATCCCTGGCTGCTCCGGCCTGCATGCCAAATATCCTCGGGCAACACATTAAGTTTCCCTCTGATGCATTTATCAGAGAAATCACATGTGATGATCACAACAGCTGGTATTCATGCACATGTTGAGCATGAGTGCTGGAGGAGATGTGGGTTACATTGTGTTGCTAAAGCAGTTAGTGGAACATCAGTCGACAATTAAGTCGAAGTTAAGCTAAGTTGTGTAGCACAGTCAGGCTGTTCAGTGTTTCTCAGAGCATCTTTTTGCCTCTTTAAACTGTTTTGGTGACGTAACTCTGTGAGAGACTACGGAGATTAAAAATAAAAAAGGGACGTGACACGCACACTCGATGATGCCATTTCCTCTTTCACTTCAGGTTCAGCAGCATTACCGCGCAACATGTCATTCTTAACAAGTAAGCGAGACAGGGAGCCAGGTGACAGTCAGCACTGGCCTTCCTGTCACAAGGCTCCAGCTGAGGAGAAGAAAATCAGGATGTTGTGTAGAAAAACAGGTACTCGCCTGCTGGGAATGTTTTTGTAAACTTTTGCATCTTTCTTTGCAAGTTTATTATTCCTCCTTAAACTCTAGCTGCTATTTGAAATGATAGTTTCCGTTCCTGTCCTGCAGTGCACAGTGACTCCAGATCACTGAAGAGGAGGCCTGCCAGCCCTGCTGGGGTCAGATCCAGCTGCCCTTTAACAGCTGGCGCACAGAAAAGGACGGACAGGGATGAAAGAAAAGGGAAGCCACAGAAGAAGGGAGTGGAGGGGGACAGGCGAGAGGCAGCTCAGATACACCTCCTGAGACCTCGCCAGCACTTACTTCATGTCACGAGGGCTAACAAGGTCTGGTCATGCTTTACTTCACGTTTGCTTGTGTGAAAAGTGTGTTGTTGTATCATCGGCATGGAAACCAAACACTAATAAACATACAGCTCCTTTTAACACCCGGGGTTGTTCCTTTTGGACTTTGTCAACAGTTTTTTAAGTTCAATGAGAAGAGTAAAAGGTCGTGGACACATTGTCCATGTCAGTAGCACCTGATGGTGGCTGAAGAGGGCGACTGACTGGAGTGTGTGTGGGTTAATAAAGCTCCTCTCTGACAGTCACAGCACTGCTGTCAATGCTGCCAAACAGCTGAAACAGTCACAGTGACATTTGACCTGACAAATGCACAGAGAGCTGTCGCCTCTCTGACGACATCTAGAGCTAAAGTTAAAGTTGCTGATACAAACAGTCCAAACACTGGGTCTGCAGCATCGAAGCGAAGATGTGAATCAGCTTTAGTGTACACAAATGATGTGTTTGTTTGTTTGTTTGTTTGTTTTGCTTTTGGTTTGTTGTTATCATACACCAACATAACATTATTTTTGTGCACGATGGAATAAGTAAATTTTGGTGTTGTGTGTTTGTATATTTTTGTATATACAAAGGAAATCTGAGTATTTTTTCACCCGTGTGTGTGTGCACCCCTTTTGCATTTGAGATTAGCATTTGTTAAAGACAAATCCCCAAGACAGACTGTGGGGGTTTGGAGGGTCCTCCCCCCAGTGTCATAGATGTTAAATAATGCTCTGATTTCCTCCCACAATCCAAGGACATCAGTGTTAGTTTGATGGAATCACGATCACTAATTAATGTAAATCGTCGATCAGATGCAAGTTTTACTCCATGGGTTAGTCCTCCGATGGACGTGGGAACCAGTGTTGCCAACTCCTCAGTAAGGAAAATCGCT